AGACACATTTCAGGCAAATTCCTTTTGCTTTGAGTGACTCTATACCTTATGTTCACTTCCTTAAAACAAATGATAGAACATTCAATTTAGTCACTATAAAAACAATCAAAACGCTACCCAAACTTTACCAGATGTTTCAGTAGTGACTGTGTCTGTAGTGACTGTTTCAGCTCAAAAACACTAGCTTTGAACAGTTATATACAAATAAAACCATAATAATTTTATTAAAACAAAAAGGTTTACTTAATTAAATCAGCAATGCATGCTCAACATTAAACAGCTTTACTGGCATATTTAAACTTTTCCCACTGTGTGGCTAAAATAAGGCTCTGCTGTGAACTTAACCTCTTTCGCTCCCTATTACAGAAATAGTTCACTACATCGTGTGTCAATCATTTCATAGTGTTGTTCGAAATCTCAGCCATAAATTTCACTCCCAATATAGATCACTATAAAATACCCATAATGCATTTTTAGTGTACACACAATGTACGCTACAAATTCCAACATATACCAGAATGCAACAGTGTCTTACTAAAGCAGTAGAAGAGAGTGTGAGAGTTTGGAGTGAGATGCATTAGAGCCAGTCAGTGAGGAGCCTGGCCTCTTCCTATTTTCCTCGTTATGTGAAAAGCAGGACTGGATGCACCAGAAGGCGCCTGCGAGTGAGTCCTCAGTGTGTAAAAAAGTTTGTATTTCTTTAAATAAACAAAGAAAACTTACCTGTGTTTCCGTTTTTCTACAACACATGGGTTTTGGGCAGCAGGACGCTAACATTACTGCTACCGAGTGCTGATTGGTTGGCATTACTGCAACTGAGTGCTGATTGGTTGGCAAGTGGAGCAGCTCATTGGCTGTTCGCACCCATTGACATCATGAATGTACATCAGGCACCGTTTAAAATTCCCATAACTGAAGTTCAAAAATGCTCAAAAATATAACAGCAGTGTTAAAATGTTTTATGCTGTTCTGCATTCAATCATTTATAAACTATGATTTTGCTCAAATGCTCCATCTTAACCCATTTATTTTAGACTTGCTCTGGAGCGCCCTCTAGTGTTTGAGAAACCCGGAAGACATTACAGAGTGGCAATTCTACAAGTTCTTTAGATGCATCTCCTTAGAGCAGGAGCACACGCACACAGACAGCAGAGGGCGCTACACTCCAATTTTATATAAAATACGAATATAAGTTGACATTATTTCAACAAAAATAACTACATTTACGTGAGTCTCCATGACCCAGAAGGATAAGCGGTTTAGAAAATGTGTGCGTGTGTGTTTACATGAGTGAATCGGCAATGCATACTTAACCTTACACAGCTTTACTGACCGGTTTAAACTTTTGGAGGCACAGATTATGACAGCTGGTCAGCTAGTTAATGTGTTGTGCTTGCTCACCCTTAATTTTTACCTCAGCGTCCTTCATGGTCAAAATCACTGCATTAGTGAATCATAACAACTAACGTTAATCATGATTCTGTATCTGTTATTACTGGTTTGTCCTTAATTAATTATAGCTGCAGGCCACAAACGGCACTAAGCTAATGTAAATTTAAACGTTTTATGTATTGGCATTATTGGAAAAAATCACGAGTACAAAGAGCCTTCCACCAAAACGTCCATCAACAGCGCTGCACGCTAAGGAAACTTTTCTTCTTTTTTTTTTATCACATTTTCTTAATGTTTGAAAAATAAAGCATCCCGGATGCCCAATTTAGGAAACATTTCTGAATGAAACATTCATCTAGAGAAAAGAGGAGCTTATCATAAGTATTGTAAGAATTTCTGGAGATAAATGTGAAAATGACAGATCTGCTCTGGTAGATGCTACAAAATATCTGAGATGTAGGAGAGAGAGATATATAGACTTTAAAAAACGATGAGCAGTCTTTTATTCATATAATACGTGCACAGTGAGAAACAAAACAGATACAGGGAACATTTTTATTAATGAAACCTGTCACGACACACAGCTGTGTAACGCTGGTGAAGCTCCTTTCAAATGTCAACTATAAAAAATGCTTTGCTGGCAGATTTTTCTCTCCTACATGATTCAGTTTTATCGTAACTTGATGTGTAAACATCCTTACAGCCAGTATTTTCCAAAATCAATAATGCAGGTCAACAGTTCACAGGGTTCTCATGTGTTTGATTTGTTTGTGCGACAGACACATCTCACAAATGTCTGTCGCCTTTTTATAGAGCAGTGCTTCCGAATGTAGTGTCCAAAAAGTCTTCTGGTTGCTCCCAGTCAGTTCACTATATAGCACATGTAGTGAACGAGTTAAAGAGTGAACCATTCCAAATGCAGATTGTGTGTTTCTGTAGTGACAGAACTTTTTTTAATTAAAAATTAAACTCATGATGAATATAAATCTTTCAGCTTCACTAATAAATCAAAAAGATACTGAAAATAAAAACGTTGTTAGGTATCGCAGGTGATTGTTAAGGGGTTGCTAGGTGATTGCTATGGTCTCCCAGGCGTTAAGGTGTTGCTAGGCCCTCACTATGTTATCCCAGGTGGTTGCTAAAGTTTGCTAGGCCATTGATATGTTATCCCAGCAGGATGCCAAGCTGTCACTAGGCTGTTGCTACGACATCCCAGGTGGTTGCTTATATTTTGTGTAATGCCTATGAGGGTCATTGTAAGAGAGGTCCTTTGTGACATCACTAGTGGCAGTAGGAATTTTCTCAACATCCCACCGTTCGTTTCCTATGGGAAGAAAATAGTGTTTAAATGAACGCTGCTCGAAACCCATGACCATTTTATAATGACATGACCGATGAGGACAGTGTTCTTTAACATTTTCTCATTTCTTTTTCATTTTGCCACAAAAAATTCTCCATATACCCCCATCTGACTCACAATCAATAAACAAATATGCCCAGAGATAGAGATAATCAAATTTTATTAAATGACTTCATCTTCTGTACATGCATAATGCAAAGGAACGAGAGAGAAAGAGAGAGACAGAGAAAGAGAGAGAGATGTAGATTGCGCTCCCAAGAAAACATTCTATCAGGCTTTTCCACTGCATGTGCTGAGCTTTGCTAGTGTTGTTGCATTTATGTGGATATAAAACCCAGCAATGGGGAGCAAACAAGCTAACAGCAGAGCAATGCACTGCTCAAAAGCAATACAGTCTCAGCTCTCCGGCTTTCTATAACGCCTCCTCAATCAGTTGATTTGGTTATTTAAAATGCACCGCAGGAGCCTACAGCCTAGAAATCTCCTAACTGTATATCATGAATAGCTACATCTAATGATACTCGCAAATAAAAACAAAGTTGTAAACATTCAAATGATGCGTTTGACATAGAAATCATGATATTACATACAACATACAGCTCACTAAGTCTTAGAAAGTGGAAAATCCTCTATTAATGTTCTGTTGTCCTTCAGAAAGTGTGTAAGGTGCACGGCTGGTGAAAAGATCTGACAAATGATGAATTTAAAGGAATAGTTTAGCAAAAAACGAAGCTCATGGTTTCCCACCTTACTCCAAATGTAGCTGGTCAACCAATACGTGTTTGGTGTCTGAAGTTTGCTTCTTTAGTTTTAGCACTGGAGCTACGAGGCTAATGAAGCTAACAAGTAATGGAAGCTCATTAGCATGCTAAATTAGTATTGTGCTAACTGCAAGCCTAAATCATCACATACCTGCTTCAGACTGTGTTGAGCTGTTAAGTCACATTTGTGATTACAAATAGACCTCCTTATGTGGTTTCTGACACTGTACATTGTCATCTATAGATGCTGAGAAAATGCAGGATTCAACACGGCAGTCTGTATAATGCTAATTAGCATCTTTCATTGTTAGTTTTAATAGTATATCATACAATGTCAGAAACCAGATAAGCAAGTCAATCTGAGATTATGTAACAACCTGGTGTATACTGGGTGTATAATAATTTAGCATGATGCTAACTGCTAAACTTGTTAGCTACATTAGCCTCATAGTTATAGTGCAAAAGTAAACTAGGAGAGGAAAAGTTCATGAACAAATTTTAAGTTGCTATGAAATCCTAGTTGATTGCTAAGATGTTGCTAGGTCATTGCTATGGAATCCAACGTAGTTTGCTAGGCCATTACAATGGTATCCCAGCTGGTTGCCAAGGTGCTACAAGGCTGTTGTTTCTATGGAATCCCAGGTGGTTGCTAAAGTGCTGTTAAGGCATTGCCATGGTATCCCAGGTAGTTGCTAAGGTGTTGCTAAGCCACTGCTATGATGGTTGCCAAGGTGGTGCCAGGCAATTGGTATGTTATCCCAGTTGATTGCTAAGATGTTGCTAGACTTTTGCTATGGTATCCCAGGTGATTGCTAAGATGTTGCTAGGCTGTTGCAATGTCTGAAAAGTAGCAAACTTCAGACACTAAATGTTTCTTGTCTAATCAACTATACTTGAGGTAAGGATGAAAACTGTAAATCTGATTTTCACCCAGACTATTCCTTTAATGTACTATGCAGCTGGAGAGAGGAGCGCTAGCACTGACATTTCTCATCCGAGAGCACCAGGCCTTTTTAGATCCCCAGGGGGGGAAATGGAAGTAATGTGTTTCAGAGACATTGCTGTAATGTGCAGGGTATTGTACCCACTTTGGCCAAAAGAAGAACATATATCCTTTTGATTTTGGTTGTGATGACTCTCCATCATTCAGCCAATATCTTTCAATTTTTTTCTTTTTGTTGTTTGACACAAAGACATATCTCAGTCTCATCAGAGCATCAAATACAAACATAGAAGTACACAAACATCCATGCTGGTTGAGGAGATTATTAGTCTGAATGTCAGGGCCCTTTTCAACTCAAGTAGAAAAACAATGGGGAAGAGAGATGGTACATTCAATTTATGTAGTGATTTTTTTCTTTAAAGTTCCTCAAAACAATCGGAATGCTGTATGTACACACATTTACATTAAATAGAACATCATGACTTGGAGATACTGAAGGTGCGCCATCTCCAAGCATCTGTTGAGATCATACGCTTTTTTCCCCCCACACCAACACACAGCGTTCCTCTTCCAAAAAAGCAACATCATCATCATGGACAGAAAGACGGACAGACGGAACAGGCCGAAGCAGAAAGAAGCCCATGTTCTTCGTGGGATTTTGGAGGGTAGATGTCACTTCCCATTCCTGTTCTACCTCGTCAGCTGGCCCACGACTTTCAGCAAGGTTTTATTCTCCTGCTTCAGCTGCTCATTTTCATCTTCAATATCATCCAGATCCTGCAAAACACATGTAGAGGGACGGTGAATAATATGGGCCTTGAAAAATAAAGGTTCCTAATGATTCTTTGCTGTGATGTATGGTTCTAGGAAAAACCTTCAGTTGGCATAGAACTTTTAAATTGTGTGGAGGTTCTTTGAACATGTACAAAACATGGTTCTTTAAGGAACTATTTACCAGAAGTTTCTTTAGGGATGAGAAAGTGGTTCAACACCTTTACAAATCTGGTTTGTTGAGGGTTCTTTAGGGTTCTTTAGTAAAGGCAAAGCTTATGGGTAGAACTATGAATGCTGAGAACCTTATAAATCTCTAAGAGGTTCTTTGCATGGTTAAATGGTTCTCCTCTATGGCGAAAAACCTGTTGTATTCAAATAACCTTCAAACAGTTTTTATATAGCACCAAGTATTTTGGTGCTATTAAGGTTGGGCCAATAGACGATGCAATCATCCATCGTCATATGTCTACGTCTGTAGAACTTATGATCGGTGAGAATTTCCAGTATGTAAGTCTGCTGAACAACTCCGCAGCCCAGACGCTGTGAGTGAATCGCCATAGTGTGTGAGCTGTAGAGTCACTGCTGCATCACTCATGTCACGCAGAGGTAGAAAAAAGGGCTGTCTGGCTCGCGAGTGATACAGGAGTGATTGCAGAGGGAGAGAAAACACTGACTTTCTGAAAAGCCGTTTCGAGCTAGAGTCACTTCCACTCTGCACCGCTCACAAGCTTTGTCTACTATAATTCCAGTGTCTCTGCTATAATGTAGAAAACTATACTTATTACTTACTCACAGATCTGAACTGGTAAATATGCATTTTAAGGAATGTCGAGTATTTATAGTACCTTTGTACCCCTGGTGCACAACTATAGACTGTTTTTGTTGGCCATCCTCTATCCCAGTGGTCACTAACCCTGGTCCTAGAGATCTCCCTTCCTCCAGAATCTAGTTTCAACAACAACCTGACACAACTTCAGAAGTCCCTGATTGTCAGGTAAGGGGAGGGCAGCATGTTAGATGCAATTTGGAACTAAACTCTGCAGGAAAGTAGAACCCTAGGAGGAGGGTTGATGACCACAGGCGTAGCCCTTCATCTAAGGTCAGTTTCTGACCACAGAGTCGTTCTTGGCTGAGAATGATCCACAACCCCAATAACACCTGGTCAGCAGCAGTATGGTGGTCAAAAACTGACCGAAGATGATTTGGGGGGGTGGGGGAGGGTGATAAATTGTGCAGCAACAGATCTAAAACTGTACACTTACACAGTGAAGCATTAGGGTAAGTGGAGCTTAAAGAGGCCAGTGAGTGGAAGCATGACGTAGGGTTTTCTAATAAAACAGCCAGTGAGTGAATATTCCCCCAGTTTAATTCCAATATAAACTGGAAAGTGATAATTTCATTACATTAGTGCACTGTTCAAAGTCTTGGAGACGATGGTTCTGCCCTTCAACCGAGCATGCTTGATAATAACAAATTAAACATTAGCAGCTTCGATTAGCTGCAAATGAGCCGCCCTGCTGCCTCATCAAAGCTCAGCCGTGAAAGTGACAACTCTCATTTTCACTTTCCTCCATCAACAACGACTGCAGCCAATCGGCTGGATTAGCGGCCTGTCGCAGAGTCTTGAGTGTGGGAGATTACGGAGGAGTCGGACACGAGTTTAAAACGAGAGCGGACGAGAGAGGGCACGACTCAGCACGGTGATTAATGGAAAACACCATTCATTTCCACTTGAAATCGCAGCCTGACAGCTACTGTGGACTGTAAGTCACCAAATTAGCAACTGTGTCCTCCTCCGAACCAACACTGCTGGCTGCACGAATGTCCATCCACAGGGGAGGTAAATAATAACAATATTCCTAATATACAGAAAGTATAGAGAAATTAGTTTATTCTCTGGTTTTATTTCCTGCTGTTGTACTAACTTAAAGGGACCATATCATTAAAAAAAGTTGACTTTCCATCCTTTTTTTAAAATACATTTTATAAATGTACTGTTCGTTCTCCAGTCCATACAGTCCACATATAAAAACTAAGATGCAAAAACACCCCATTTTGAATTAATCAAAAGGTTGTTATGACAAGAAAAGCAACACATTCAACACACTGGCCTGCTCAGTAGTAGTGAGAGGTATGTAGGGTTGAAATTCTTGCTCTGGTATGAGTTTCGTGATACTAGTATACACAAACACACGCAGATAACGCGACATACAAACAGTCCAAATCACGCTAATGTAAGCCTCATTAGCTGAGTGGCTGAGCCAAGAATGATTCAAATCAAAACGAAAACTAAGTAGTCTCTCGATCACCTCCGGCTGTTGCATCTGAAGTCCACGTTGCTTTCAACGCATCAGACATAAAGAAACTGCCAGTCTTTTGTATGTATGCCTTACCCTAACATGGACACAGACGAAGCCTGGCTGATGAGCCGCCGGACTCTGTCAGCTGCATTGGACAGTGTCCCAGTTTCCCGGGTTTGTCCGCACAAAATGCCATGCTGTAGCTCACACTGAAGCAGGAATAACTGTAATATTTTCCTATTTCTGACAGCGTTTGACAAGCAGAGGGGCGAGCGTATGGGATGCATGTATAAGATAAATGACTTGAGAAATTAACAAAGCTGAAATCGGCCTCTTATTCAAATTTCCTGTTCCACCTTAAATGGTGCAGCAGTTACATTCAAGTGTCTGAATAGGTACATGTATGTAACTGCTGCTCCATTTAAGGTGGAATGAAAAATTCCAAAATGCCTAATTCAGACGTGACTTAACATTTAGTACCATTTTTGCCAGAAAGCAATACTGGATTTATCTATATTGTTGGTCATATATCAGTCTGAAAGTGACATTAAATAAAACAACCTGTTTAATTCTAAGGGACAAAGAGATTTTGGAAAATGTTCATGTAAAAGAATTCAGGGAAGAAGAATAAAAAAAAGTATGATATGGACCTTGAACATTTCCTAAAAATAATTAATTTAAGAGAACCTTCATTACTTTTCCCGGCTGACTATTTAGATGCATTTTCACTATGCTGGGTTAGTTTGATTTCTGCCTGCTTCCTTTTACTATCCTCTTATTTGCCATGTACAATGTATGATGTATTACTAATTTTTTGCTGTTAGTTGTGTTTTGCCTGAGTAAGGGTCTGAAAATGTTATTTCTGATAACAAAATTGCCAGTGGAATTGCTTGGGATATTTTGTTCAGAGCAGCTAAATCTTGCAGACAATTTAAAAACACTCCATATTTTGGCAGACTTGTGGGGCCCAGAAAGCACAAGAACATTCTTTGCTTTTTACCAATTTGTCATGTCACTTATGACCTTGCTTAGTTTTGTGTTCTGCCTAGAATCTCCTGAAATCTTCAGTGTACAGCAGCGGTTCTAAGATGCTGTTCCTTCAGTCCCACACTCTTCTACTACCATCTAAGGCTTCTAAATTATTTCACAAATAACCTTAAGAGTAGAGGCACTACTGCAGAAAAAAAGTCAAAGCATTATTTATAATATGTAAAATATGTGTTGCCTTTATGTGCTGCAGTGTTTTCTTCTGTACTACTTTTTTCTGTCCAGTCACTGGCAACACTAATATAATAGCTAGCAGTAGTGTAGGAATGAAATGAACACTTCATGACAAATGAGTATTTATGGGTACTCATGACAAAGTCAAGAAATTCTCTGAAGTACTGATGTGTGTGATGCACTCTTGTTTTTTGGACTTTGGGTTTGGTGTAGTGTATGGCCAGCTTTACTGTGTCTTTATATGCAAATGCTCTGCTCTGACTGAATCCCCCGTTTGGAGCCTGGTTCAAAAAGCAGCTGGAACACTCCTTATAACTTCAATCTGAATGGGCGGGGCTAAACTGCTGTAGGCTGAATAGGTGGAGATATGTAAATATGCTGGTTTTTGAAATCAACTTAGCTTAGTTTCCATATATGGACTGTATTGAATGGTATATTTTGTAACTGCAACAGTGTTTACATATTACATCTCATACTCATAAAAAAGCGAGGAGAATTTGATTTCCCATGACATGGTCCCTTTAGAGATATGCAGGGAACCACCTCATATTTTATTTTATTTATTTCTTCAAATATCTGCAGTCGTTTTGGATGCTTTTCTGGGCTTGAAATGTGCAGCAGCACAGCGTGTATCTTTTGGCAGCAGACTCTGAAGCGCTGTTTGATTTGGACTGCAGCTTCAGACGGAGTTATTTCTGACATGAGCGGGTTAGACCCCCTCGCCTCTGAAAGGCTGAGAGTTGAGGCGTGTTTTGCTAGCTAGCGCTGACCCTGGATCAGAGTGCAGGAGGGAAAGGCAGTTCTGGCCGTGTGGGACAGTGAATCAGAGCAAGTGCCGGAGCTCTGGGACAGACAGAGAGACCTTGCTGATCTTTCTGAGGGGAAAAAAAAAAAAATAATAAAAAATACAAATCTCATTCTTGGCAGGATTGCAGCAGACAGAAGTCGAGCGTTTCTGGAGGCGCTACTGTTGCCAGGAGGCTAACTCATCCTGCCTGAACGTCTCGAACATGTTAAGAGGCGTAAGCTGGAGAGAAAAATGTGAATTCAACATAATGACTTGAAGCGGTTCAGGAGATGCAATTTAAAATAGAACATGATTTACTACAGCAAAGACAATTTAACACATTACAGCTCTCAAATGAATAGTTTCATAAAAATTCTGTTTCACTACCACTCCCCTCCCCTTTTACCCCAAATACAAGCAGTCTAAAGTTTGCTGCTTTAGACTAATGTAGCTAACAAGTAAACAGAAGCTTATACACCGATCAGGCATAACATTATGACCACCTCCCCGTTTCTACGCTCGTTGTCCATTTTATCAGCTCCACTTACTATATAGGTGCACTTTGTAGTTCTACAGTTACAGACTGTAGTCCATCTGTTTCTCTGATACTTTGTTAGCCCCCTTTTACCCTGTTCTTCAGTGGTTAGGACCCCCATTTACCCTCACAGAGCAGGTACTATTTGGGTGGTGGATCATTCTCAGCACTGCAGTAACACTGATGTGGTGGTGGTGTGTTAGTGTGTGTTGCACTGGTACGAGTGGATCAGACACAGCAGTGCTGCTGGAGTTTTTAAACACCTCAGTGTCACTGCTGGACTGAGAACAGTCCACCAACCAAAAATATCCAGCCAACAGCGTCCTGTGGGCAGCGTCCTGTGACCACTGACTGTGCAGCAGCAGAGGAGCTATTGTCTCTGACTCTAATAGAGTGGACAGTGAGTGGACACAGTGTTTAAAAACTCCAGCAGCACTGCTGCGTCTGATCCACTCAGACCAGCACAACACACACTAACACACCACCACCATGTCAGTGTTACTGCAGTGCTGAGAATGATCCACCACCCAAACAGTACCTGCTCTGTGAGGGTAAATGGGGGTCCTGACCACTGAAGAACAGGGTAAAAGGGGGCTAACAAAGTATCAGAGAAACAGATGGACTACAGTCTGTAACTGTAGAACTACAAAGTGCACCTATATAGTAAGTGGAGCTGATAAAATGGACAATGAGTGTAGAAACAAGTTTAATTCTAAATTAAAGGTAAATCTTTAATAGATTTGCTACTGTTATTTCTGAATAATATACTGTTATTTATAAACACAAACAACATGACAGATACACTTCAGAGTTTAGGATGCTGCTATCCATGTTTATGGACAACAGTATGTCAGAGTGCTAGAAACCACATAAGCAAGGCCATTTGGGATTCTACAAAATTGTTCATAATTAAATGGTTAAGATGTAAACAAAGTCATGCAGAGTGGTCAGATGTGAAAATCCCAATAAAGCTATCTAGATTTATCAGCAAGCTTTACGTTTATGGAAAATGTTAAATAATTTGAAGCACAATTTTCCACCTTACAATCAACTTTTAAGCAAAACTGTCCTAAGCATGAGGTTCAATTTGTTTGTGATGTACTGGATTAAGATAATAACTTTTTGTCTATTACTGATTTTTGAATGAATTTCAATTTAACATTAACAGTAAAGAATTTTCTAAAATATGTAAAGCTATTCCTCCAGCTCTGCTTCAGCTCATAAAAGGTACAACGCATCATTCTAATGTATCTTTATCTCTCCCTATACTACAAAGTGATGGACTGGGATTAATGAGTTAAAGATGTAAAAATAAGTGGACAATAAGGGGTATAAATGAAAGTAAGTTTGTGGGTTTCAACAGGGCTTTTTGTTGTAACAGTGAACAACCCATAATGTGGGTCAAGGCTGCTACAGAATATCTATCAAAGTAAAAGAAACTCACTTTGAGATTATGTCATCTAATGATTTTCTTTGTGGTAGATTTGGTTCTGAAAATATGCCTTGCAGCTTTTGTCATTCACAGTGTGAAACCACTGAACATCATTTTTTTCTTGTGAATATTAAGAACCTTTTCATCTGAGATTAAAAACTGGCTTTTTACCTTTTATTCCAACCTGCCTGGGTTTCATTGCGAAGACAGTGTGTTTTTGATCATTATTTATTATGACTGTAGCTACTGCCCCTTGTATATTATGGGCTCAGGCACCAAACAAAAATAAATAAATAATAATAAAAAAAAACTTCAAACTGGTTTGAATCACTTTGTTTAAATCTCAACCATGGAACAACTCCACATGGTTTCAGGCAATGCTAACTGGCACGCTCCCTGTCGGTACACGATCTGCGTCTTCTGCCTGATTTGAAGTCATGTGCACCATAGACCACTGTAGTCATGTCGTCCTCTTGTAGTCGGTGCCATGCTCTTATGCCCATATTAGGATCTCTGAGCTCAATTTCTGTAAGGCTAGAATGAATAGGGTTTTCGAAAAATCACCTCTATCGCACCCTGTGGTAGATAAAAAGGTTCAGTACATGATACATTTTGTCCTGTGAACATTCTTCTCTCAAATATCACTGGATCCTTTTAATTATGAAGTTGTTAAAGAGGTGAAATATGAATATTGCTACATGTAATGCTACTGTGCACTGAATTCACATAATTAGACTGGCAGCCTCCGTAAGCACGCGTTCCCAGTGTAGTAGCGTATTTCCATGTACAGACTGAGGGCAGATGAAAAGAATCAGAACAAAATAAGCTGCCCAATCTCTACTCCGCATTCCTGTCTTTTTACGACTTCATATAAGCGGATTAGCTTGGAGTATTTAATGCTGAAACTGCTGGCTGTCTTATTTTCTTTCCTGGTTTAATACTAGCTAAAATTAAGTTTCTTTCTATAGGTGAAAAATTCAGGTTAGAGCATCAACATTATCGTTTTGGTTTAGTCTGAGAGCATGTCTGTTGCTGAATCTCCAATGACTCCTTATCCTTATATAGTGCGCTGCACAGGTAATGAAACTATGGCTTCTACGTACCCAAACAGAGCACTAAATGCTATATAAACAGATTTTATTTAGACACATAATGAACTATTTGTGTGTAGAAGCCATTACATAATGACCTCCGTAGTGCGCACCACATACGGAGAAGGAAGCCATTTGAGAATGAGCCTATAATTTGCCCAGCTTTATTCACGCTATTGTTATTGTAGCGCCCATAGAGGCTTAGAGTGAAATCTTACACAAAACAGAACCGCTCAGGTAGATAATCACACCTTTAAAGCTTTGTGCTTTCACTGATAAACATGTACAATAGCTTGCCAACTGAGCAGGGAAGAGTACAAAATGCACCCGTAATTACTACTGAAGAACACGGTCATTTTGTTACGGCTCAACTACGATTTTAAACTGCCATAAAATGCTTACATGTATGTGCTACAGATTTGGTATTGCTGGCTGGTGCTGGTAAAAGTAATGTTCTCTGCACATGCGCGGTGCAAATCGGGCAAGTGACGCGGATCAGAGAGACACTCCTATTACTTATGTTACTTGGCAGCTACAGTGTTAGACTTGCAGCTTCACAGCAAACTTTGTTAAGGAAGAAATGAGATTTTTTGCTATTTCAGCTCTAATCACTGATCTCCGCAGCTTACAATCAGTTTAAAATGTTGATCAAACACCAATCAGGTCCAATTGAGCCACAGCGTGTGGAAAGCAGAGCGCTGGGGAATCGCACAGCTGGATCTGCGAGGGTGACTTAGTGAAAAGCGGAGGATAATTGTAATCTTCCATTAAGCTGTGGAAGAGCTTTACAATACGCTGCTGATTGCAGGGAGATATTGGGGTCGCAATTTGGTCACTGTTTCACATCCGTTTCTGAACAGTGAGAACGGTAAAGAGGAATGTTGTTGAATATGGAGAGGATAGATCTTTTCATCTGAAAGACGCAGTAATGCACAGCAATTTCATTAACCCCTTAAACTGCAGGCTGGCCACTTTATCAGAAACTCCTGCCTTGTGCTTCCTCTCACTGTCTACTTTTTTAGGAACCCACAATTTATACTTCCACTATATAGGTGTACACTTACAGACAGGACTGTCCAGATATTTTGGATAATTCTCAGCACAGCGGTGACACTGACATGGTAGTGTGTGTGGTGCTGGTATGAGTGTACCAGACACCTGAGTGTTGGGGTTTTTACACACATCAGAGTGGACCACAAATATCCAGCCAAGAGCAGCTCTCTGGTCAGAAACTGACCACTGATGAAGGGATAGGGGGCAGCTAACACAAACAACATCAACAGTTGTGCTTCAGTCTCTAACTGTACACTAGCAAGGTGGGGCTAAAAGAGACTAAAAGTTAAATTATTTTAAATGCAGAATGTTGATGTTTATTTTTTGTTAATGTTGTACATTATGCATCAAAGCTATGCAGTGAAAGTCAAACTGCTTTACATTAATTTTTGCTCGATTTTTCTTTGTAAAACAATTTGATCTGCATTTACATATATGTAAGGTTATTATATTATTATTATTATTATTTATTATTACAGTTATTCACATCATCATCATTATCATCATTATCAATTACTGTTCAGTCTCACTGTCACCCCCTGCTGGCAGACTGCAGCCTGTTCCTTACCCGGTTTAACAGATCGATTTCCTCCTTCAGTTTAACGATCAGTTCGTCCTTGTCCTGGTGAGATTTCAACAGCCGGCTGTTCTCCTGTCTCTCCAGAGCCAGCTCCTACACACACACACACACACACACACACACACACACACACACACACACACACACACACACACAGTACTGTTTACAAAAATGTTAAAAAATTACCATTATGAGTAAAGCAATTTTGACTATGTGAAAGGAACAATAACACATCATTGTTACTATTCTTATCAATGTTCTTATTATACATCGCGTATTTGTGCAGTATGGTAGTATGTGTGGTTATGTGTCTATTTATTGTATACTGTCAGTTTTTGCTACTGCAGAACTCACATTTCGCTCTACAATTCAAAAATAAAATCGAGAATTATCAAATACATCAATCCAAAGTGACATATACTGCTAGCATCCTTAAATGTATAGATAATGTGTAATGTTTATAACTTTAAAAGTCTTCAATATCTGCATTAATATTCAAACTTTAACTGTATAACTTCATAACTGTACATATTTTCGGTATTTAAATTAATCACCAATACCTATATAATGTAAGTACACATGCCTACTGCTTTATTATTATTATTATTATTATTATTATTATTACTATTATCAGTAACTCAGTAAATAAATAGAAAGTGCACTAAAATTTGAAGAATGTCATATGTAGAGCCTAAGTTATTTCAACTAAATTTAATATAACTGAGTGCGTTTAAACTTTATAATGCCCATCTTTATAAAGGTTTATTATATTATAGTGGTTCATTATCACTCACCATCATATGCACACACAAAATACACATGCATGATGCATATGAACGCTAGACTACACTGGTGATTTCTGTTGTTTCTAATTACAAACATGAATATTCAGTTTGAAAATTTAAGATAACAGTTATTTATAAACAGAAACAACAGAAATCTAGTTTCCATATGCCTGCATGACACGCATGCACAAAAAAAAGAGTAGGAATTTGGCACAATTTGGTTGTTTAGTGGCTGCATGTAGTGTTGAGCTTCATGATTAAATTTTGTTCATTTTGTAGTTCACCATAAGTCATACTGCGCTCTAAACCACATCGACTCTGCTGGACCTTAATGAAGAGCAGGATGTGGTTTGAGCAGGTTAAGAGAAGGAGAGAGAGCCATCATGCAAGAATATTTCCAGAAATGTGGTCATATGGTTTTGGTGAGAGTGAGGGGGGACTCACCCCCCTTTTATGCAGACAACAGAGACTTGAGCTCCATTCACACTATTGAGAAATTCTGCTCATTTCAGTAAACTTTAGCGATTATCTTTCCCCCTTTCATGATTACAGCAAACATTTTGGCCATTTTTGTGATTTCTAGGGTTTTGAGTCTGAACAGACAGGAACTGTATCACTTTAAGCACTACTGATATGAAAAATATGTGCTTAATTTACCATGTATGTGATCTCGGAGAGAAGCTGTTGCACTAATAGACATGATTTGGGTGACTATTGACTTCCAGTATTTGCTAGCAATGCTAGCCTTGTAGCTCCAGCGCTAAACTAAAGATGCAAAATTTGGAATCAAACCTGTCTTGGCTGATTGACTATGTTGATAAGAGGAAAATGAGTAAGTTAGATTTTTCGCCAAAACTTACCTTTAAATGTAAATACTTTACTATACTACTACTACTGTACATACTTTGTTATATGCAAGACATCAACATAAATTCCCCCAAGTTATTATTATTATTATTATTATTATTATTATTATTACTACTATTAAACAACTTATTCACCTAAAGTTCAGCTGTGTCACAGTTTTAAAGTACAGAATTACTAGCAAATCGTGTCCTATTCTGAGTAGGAGATTATTATTTATGAGCTTTATGCTGGGCGAATGAAAGACTGCACTGCCAGCTGAGCCCTGTTTCCTTTATCGTAATGCATGAGTCCTTTTCTGCCGAAACCCAGAGAAAGTGTAAAGCATGAGCGTTTTCTGTGGCCCAGGGGCTTCTGAACTGAATTTGAAGTCATCGCATTCGTCTCTGTAATGCAAAACAGCACAGAGCTGAACATTTATGCTTGAATTCTAATCGCATAATATAACAGAAGGCAATAAAATGAGAGCAGATTAGCAATATCAGTGAAATATGCTAGAATGTGAAATGTAAAACCAGCCAAAGATCAGAATCTAAGAAGTACAGTTTTAAAGCCTTACTATATCTGGACATAAAGGACATGGGCGATGCTGAAAGCGAAATTCAGTGGATCATGTGTTTGTGCTGGTTTTTGCTTTAAAAGCACACTGGCATTTGAGAGTGAATAGTGAAGGTGGGACTTTTGGCGTTTTCTAAGAAGAGTGAGCAGAGATATCTCTAAGAGAAAGGTCAGGAGAGAGAGAGAAAGGAAGAGAGAGAGAGAGAGAGAGAGAGAGAGAGAGGGGGGGGGGAATAAAAAGATTTTTTTTTCTCAGTCACATGTAAAAGTTTGACCAAATTACATGTTTTCTAAGTGAAAATAACACATCCTATACAAAGAACACACCTAAATATGGCATTTTTCTGCAAATTTCATTGTACAATTTCTGTTTATTTGCTGTCAGAAACTAGAGAGAGTCAGAAACAACATCAGCATAAATATGACAGTTTTTATATAAATAAATATAAAAAAAAATAAAGAAAAAAACAAAGATAAAAATTAGGCTTTGAGATGTCAGCTGGCAAAAATTAATTAGGTAGCATATTACTTGGTTTTCATTGCTATTTTTTTTACAAATAACTCTCAGAAACCATGTAAGCAAGTCTATTTGAGATTACTTAACAACTCCAGGAAGTTTCGTGAGTGACTGATGATGTAGGCGTGCAGGAAGTTAATGAACTTCCACTACTTGCTAGCTACATTAGTTTTGTAGCTACAGCGTAAACTAAAGATGCAAACTTCAGACACCAAACATGTCTTGGTTCATCAGTTACACTTGGGGTAAGGGGGCTGTGCATATGTGCATACATAATTTGCATATTTGATTTTTAGTCTACTGCTTTATAGTAAAGCTTCATGTATAAAAGAAGCAGGTTTTCAGCTGGAAAAAAAAACAAGCTGCACTGAGTCCTGACATTCAACCCTCTCTCAGCTTCCCAAAAGACCTGCAAAGGCTACATTTTCCATAGAGCTTAGATAAGAGAGTGTCTGAAAGTGTGTGTGTGTGTGTGTGTGTTCGTAGGATTGATTTTAGTGAAGATAAGTGTACTGTCCTTTTGGCCTTGAGAATTTCACATGTTACAGAACGAAAGGAGAAGGGCTGCTTCTCTGGATACATGCACACATATATACATGTAAAAGCTATACCTTGACAGGATATGTCAATACTTATACATAGTAATAATATTCCTCATATATATAACATAGAAGTATAAAAGTACTCATGTAAAAAGATGATCCATAAACTCCTATAAGATGGTCCTATAAACTCTATAAAAAGTCTAATACTCCATTTAAACTTTTACACAACTATTCACAGAGTTGGTGCAAATTATTAGTTTCTTACTGTATATTAAATACAATTCAATTCAATTTTACAGACCAGATTCAATATGTACAATAGAACTGATGATGAGTGAGATAAAAACAGGACTCTAACACATACACATAGTCACTCACTCACTCACACACACCACCATACCTTCTCCAGTTCCTCAATCCTCCTCTCCAGTCTAGTAGGTGATGTGCTCTCTCTGCCATGGCGACTGTAACCCTGACGATGCCTGTTTCCCGCATCATCCTCACTGCGAACACACACACACAACACAAACACATACACAGTAGTTAACATTCCTGTTGTTATGGGGCTTTTCTGCATTCTCCAGTCACAATTGTGTATTCAGTGCATTTTTACAACTAATTCCTAATCAAACTAAAATAATCTAACTGAATAGATCAAATCAAACATGTAAAAATCTGTAGCGATCTTTGTTTACAGTTGCTACATAGGAAGTTTCCAGTTTAAAACGCTACACTGTTGTTGTAGCTAATCCAAACAAGATAGGCTGGAAATGTCAGTATTAGCCACCATACTAATGTTACCTCAATCACACAACAAAAAACTACACCTGAGCTGACCATTCACACTCGTTGATTAAATTCAACAACACTGACATTATATACCTCATAGAGTTTCCCATTAATTCTAAAAGACCATGATGTGCCTCATATTACGGGAATCAGTCAGCCAGTCAGGTCATTTACATATATCACTGTTGAAGGCACAGTAACAAAAACAGCCTGTTTAATTCGTAGGGATAGAGAGAGGTTAAAAAATGTTCATGTAAAAATGAATTCTGCCTGTTTTTGGTACATAAAAACCACACAAACATAAGTGGACCTCAGGGGGAAAAATACAAGAAAAATGTAGGACATGGACCCTTTAAACGTTCCATCTAACCCGACGCCGACAATGCAGCGGCACTAATGCTAACTAATGTACCTGCCTACGCAGAAAAACAACATCAGCTGAAAAACATCTATTCATGTGCACAGAAAATCACGCCATGGAAATGGCATCGTCAATCCATAACTCGCTCCTAGAGTATTTTATATCGCTAATGGATGAGCTCTCAGTGGTGTGAAAAAAATAAAAATCATTAAATAAATGAATAAATATAAAAAAACGATGTTTATCCTTTTCACAAAAGAAATGTAACAGCTGCATGTAAAAGCTCCTCTGACCATTTCACTTGGTTGTTTTTTTTAAGAAGAATGGAGTAAGGAAAAGCAAGAAACAAACAGACTTAAAAGACTTAAAAGAGCAAATCATTATTTGGATGGTCCAGTGTAGGTGTTCTACAGATGCTTAAAGGGCCATTATTAAAAGGATAGTTTCAGTCCTAAAATCTGATTGGCTGAGCCGTGCTCGAAGTCGTTGTAAACTACACAACATACTTACACCTATGACGGCCTCACAACTACGTCACCTCACAAAAATCACTTGTGTTCTTAATGGATCAATCTTTGACTCTAATGCTGCTCATGTGGACCACCAAGTGTACTGATCAAGTAAGAACCTGTTTTTTGTTTAAACTGAAGAGCTTACAACTTATTTTCTTAACTAAAACTAGGCTGGTCAGCTAGCCAACAGGCTAAAAATAGCTAACAGCCTAAACAACTACATCCTTAATATCAGGCTTGAATTAAAGTACTTGCACAATAAAACTGCAATATAAAAGTCTAAAGAATGTCACTTTATTGGCTTACACACTTCAAAGTATCTGCAGTTCAGTCAGAAGCAGCATCAAACCCAGACTGAATCCCTAACGGCTCAGCACTCCCTAAATAGTGTGCTAGCTATGGAAGTTAAGACATTTTAGCCTTCTGCGTGGATATGGCCGAATCCCAAATGACTATTTTTAGCTATATTATGTGTTGTTGTGGAGCAGGATCCAGTATTTAAATCCCTATGTAGTGATCTTTGTTTTGTTCACTCTCAAACCATATATAAGCCTGTAACAGCCACACCAGTGTAGCATATATGACAGTAAGAATCTGCAGAGAGATTAACTTAAGCACTTCAGAAGGCTGAAAAAGCCCTATGAATAGAACTGAAGGGAATATGTGCTACAGAAGGTTTCTGGACAGAAATAAAGGTGTTTCCACACACACTATTCCATCTCTCTCAGCAACAATAACAGTAGATTTATCAGCTATCAGGGATGTAAAGCTGTGATACAGAACAGAGGATTCAAATCTACCTTCAACACTTCATCCTCACCTTCAAATGTTCTGAGAGATTCCTGGTTTTGTCGATGTGTTATTCAGACTGCAGCATTATTATAAGTTTTGTGAGATAAAACTTTTGTTAAGTGCTCAGATTTGAATTTACCCAGATTTAACCAGCTTTGTTTTGCACTGGAGCTGCAAGGCTAACGTAGCTAATAATTACATTAGCAATCAGCATTTTGCAAAGGTTCCTAAATCATCACACATTTGCCCCAAACTGTGTTGAGCTGTTAAATAATCTCAAAAAGACTAGTGTATGTGATTTCTGACATTGTATGATATACTGGTACCTATAAACAAGGACACACATAGCTAAAAATCAGCAGCAGCAGCCATCTTGAAGCCTTGAAACTTAAAGAGAATTCTCAGAATTAAAAGGTTGTATCTGCATTTGGTCTATTCTGGAAAGAGCCATTTCCAAATATCGTAGGATGTTCAGTGGTCAAAAGTATCTCAGGGAACTTACTTTAAGATAACGAAAGGTGACATCAGAGTTTTGCTACAGCACCGTTCCCAAAAAAGTTATGACGCTGTGCAAAATGTAAATAAAAATAGAATGCAATGATGTGCAAATCATTTGAACCCTATTTTTTATTGAAAATAGCACAAAGACAACGTAACAAATGCTGAAACTGAGAAATTTCATGTTTTTTTTTTTTTAACATATGCCCATTTTGAATTTGATGCCAGCAACATGCTCCAAAAAAGTTGGGACAGGGGCAACAAAAAACTGATAAAGTTGTGTAATGCTAAAAAAACACCTGGTGGTTAATTAGCAACAGGTCAGTCTGTTTCAGAAGTAAAGATGATGAGCAGTTCACCAGTCTGTGAAAGACTCTGCAGGCATATTTTCAGAGCACAGTTCAGTCAGCATCCATGATGGTGTGGGGGTGCATTAGTACATATGGCCTGGGTGACTTGCACATCTGTGAAGGCACCACTAATGCTGAACAGTATATGCTGCCATCCAGACGACGTCTTTTTCGGAGAAGGCCTTGTTTATTTCAGCAAGACTACGCCAAAACAAAATTTGCACATATTACAACAGCATGGCTCTGTAGTAAAGGAGTTAGAGTGCTAAACTGGCCTGCCTGCAGTCCAGACCTGTCACAACTGAAAACATGTGGCGCATTATAAAACGAGAACTATGACAAAGGAATACCCCGAACTGTTGAGCAGCTGAAAACTTTTTTGGAATGTGTTGCTGGCATCAAATTCAAAATGGGCATATATTTTTCAAAAACAATTTAATTTCTCAATTTCAACAGCTGACATGTTGTCTTTGTACAGTTTTCAAGTAATATAAGGTTTACATGATTTACACAACATTGCATACTGTATTTATTTACATTTTGCACAGCGTCCCAACTTTTTTGAAAATGGGGTTGTATATGAAAGTGGAATCTTTGCTTCTCAATACCTCAAAACTGCACTGAACAGAGACCAAACTTTACAATTCTAAGCTGACGATATGCCTCAGTGAAATATTCTATTTTATAAAACCGATAGTTCTGGTCCTAAAATCTGACTGGCTGAGCTGCGTTCGAAGCCGTTATAAAATCGCACACCTATGACGCCTCACAACAACTGAGTTGTGTATTACTACGCCATGGCACGAAAAAAAACCCTTGTGCTGTTCATGGAATAATCTTTGACTCTCATGCTGCTCATATGGACCTCTGAGTATATTGATGAAGTATGAACCCGTTTCAGCTCCATCATTAATATCACAGGCTTCAATTAAAGTACTTACGGCATGATTCACTGTAAAGCGGCAGTGTAAAAGTCTAAACAACGTCATGTGAATGGATTACATGCTTCAAATGTTCGATTTTTCAGACAGAAGTAGCGTCAAACTCTAGGCTCTTCAGCCAAACAGTGCATCATTTATCGAGTAAGGATGTGATGACTATTTCTTAGCTATATTTTGCACCATTGGGGTGCAGGATCCTGGATTGGTGCTAGATAAGACTCACGGTGGTAATCTGGTGGCCAGAAAGTACCTATAAAGCGAAAGTTTTTGCATTAAATAGTATTCATAACAATATGTTCATTGTTATATGACAAATGACCGAAATATACAGTGATGGGCGACCAAACGTTCTCCTCATTCAGCAGTCCATGGTTGCTTGGCAATGATATCATACTTTAAAGCAACTACATTTCTTATCGGAATACTTGTTTATGGGAAGGGAGATTTAAAACACCCTTCCCGTGATAAAAAGTTGCAGAGTTTTTTTTTTCTTAAACACAATTTAGATTTAGATGTGTCCAATTCCATTTGCTAACTAGGCTTCCCCAATCACACAGTGCTACCAAGCAAACTCAGGATCTCCTAAAAGGGTCAACGCTTCAGTTATGGGCCCCAAAGTTCCAGCTTTAAATGAATTTCACTTCAACATTAAAAATTTTCCTATGGCAACATGACTGGTGATTCAAACTGTGCTTTTTCTCCCCATAGCCTTAAATTACTTGTTAGCTACATTAGCCTTCTAGATCCAGTGCTAAAACTAAGGAAGCAAACTTCAGTCACTAAACCTGTGTTGACTGATTGACTACATCAGGCATAAGGGTGGGAAAATTTGCTGTTCCTTTCAATGCGAACATGGCCAAAGAGATGCTACTGCACAAATGAAACCGGAAAAGCAAACCCTCCTCCTTCTGCCTAGCAGGCTGAGGCTAATGTCTGCTGCAGATGCTATTCCTCACCTTATTTCTTTAGTGTTTAAAACCAATTTCACATAAAATCACTGCTACAAAGAAGAGCGGCTATGGAAACAAAACAGGACAATCAGAAAAGCGAGAGAGGATACATTTGAAGGGGAGGGAGGTTTAGCAGAAACAGTATGTGTTTCTCTTTGATGAGTCGGCTAAAGCGAAGCGTGTAAGGCAGATTGAGTGTGATGTGCTCTGGGGGAATGGAGCAGATGTCCAATTGGAAATGTTCATGTCCAGGGAGTGTAAAAGTCACTCAGGAGCGTGAGCCCCCTGCTAGGATGAAACAGAGGGAAAC